TTTTGATTCTGCCCAATGTCATGGCGAAGTAAACAAGGTAGACATCTTAAAGATTTTACTCCTCCATGGGGAGCAGTTTCTCCGTAATTACAGCTCTGGTTAGGGCTTTTTTTTTTTTTGCTAGAAATTTGCATTTTATCCTGAGAGAAATGGGGTTAATTATAAGGATACACAGGGAAAGAAGCTTTAAACCTATTAACTACCCAGCTACTCCTCTTGCTCTAAGGTTCGTGCTCTGCGCTCAAGGGCTGCGTTTTGGTGTCTTGTTTCTCGCTGTTCATTTGCTCAGTTTTCTTACTCTTGCCTAATTTTCCGATTTTTCTTTTTAATTTCTGGAATATTTCATGTATAAAATACAGAGGGGATCTAACCAGTCCATGATTAAGATTTACAGATGTAATTATTTTGCCAAATTTACTTCAGATCCTCTTTTTTTTTTTTAAGAAATGAAATTGTAAATATTGGAGATGCTCTAAGTTCCTCCCTCTCCTTACCTAGAGGTAGTCACCGTGTTCAGGTTTGTGTATATCCTTCCCTTGCATATTTTATATTTGGACCACGGTGAATCCATAAACATTATAGTGTTGTGTGTTTTAAACTTTGATAGTATTTAATATGTCTTTTTGCAACTTGCTTTTTAAAATCAGCATCACATTTTCAGATTTATATATGAATAAATTGGATAATTGTGTCTGGTTCATTCATTTTAATTGCTGGTATAGAATTCCGTTGTGTGAATATACCGTAATTTATTTATCCATTTTCCTATTGGTGGACTTTGAAATTGTTTCTAGTTTTTGACTATGAAAACAATCCTGCAATAAATATATTTGTACTTATCTGGCACACATTTGGAAGTTTCTGTAGAAAATACACCTAGTCGTGGATTTGCTGGATAGTAGGATATGTGCATCTTCAACTTAACCGAGTATCACAGAAGCTCTCAAAAGTGGTTGCACTAATTTTCAGTCTCACTGGTATTGAGTGAGGATACTAATTTCCTCACATCCTTGCTAACACTTTTTTACCCAACTTTTACATTTTTGCCTTCTCTTTACTGACCAGCTTCCTTATAACTTTAGCTTGTGGATCAAATTGCTTGCAGCCACCTTGGCATCTGCTCTAGCCCTGTGTCAACCTGTGGCTTCATCTCTTGCAGCTAACTGGCTCAGTCTTTATCTCATTTGGTCCTCGTAAGATTAATTCCAGTTAACATTTATTTTGTACCTAATGTTTGTCAGTTCATATGGTTGTTATAAAGGTAATAATTTACATGGTATGTTCTCTGTACCTCTCTAGTGACAGGTGAGGTGATTTAAATACTTTTTTTTTGCATATGATGAACAGTTTTTTAAAATACTTTCTCTCTTTAATGTAATATTTGATACTTTAAAAATATATGTAACATATATGCAGGTTATGAAGCAAAACAATAAAATGAACACCTATCAACTCAATCCAGGAATCAAAATGATCGATAGTGAATGTGCTCATCTCCAGAGCGACTGCTATCCTGAATTGTGTGTGTCATTCCTTGTTTTTTAATAATAATTTTATCAGATATGTATATATCCCTAAACAATGTATGGTTTCCATTGTTGTTGCATTTAAAATTAGGAGTATTGGATACAGGTTTCTGGGGCTTGTTTATTTCACTCGATGTTATGTTCCAGAGTCACTGATAATCAGTATAGATGTTAAGTCATTGATTTTCACTGCTGTGTAATATTCCATGGGTGAATATAACACAGTGTATGCATTCTTCTGTTGATGAACATTTTGGTTGTTTCTAGGTATTGCTATTTTGAAGATTTTTGTATGTATCTTCTGGTACACAGTTGCAAGAATTTCTCTACTTTTCACACTGGGGCATATAGCCTTAGGGGAGTAATGAGTTTTCTAAGGAGTACTTGGGCACAAGTGACATTAATCAATTTGTAGATCATTAAATTCCATGTGTACCCTTTCCTAAAATTAGTAATGCCTGAGGCATATAGAAACTTCCTCCTGGTTTTACTTTCCTACCTTCCCTTTTGTAGTAGCACTTCTACCTTAGTTAAGGAAGGCATACTATTCACTCACATGGGATCTTAGCAGGGCAATGTCCCAAGTGAACAACTTTCCCTGGAAAACAAAGGAGTAATTTAAAATGCATGCAGTGTACAGTGTTAGGGAATGCTTCTTTTAATCAAGGCACTTCCCATCTCCTCAACAGCTTCATTTCCAATGAAATGTAGCTTTTTATGTTTAATTATCAGTGTAAATACTAGTTATTTTTTGATACACTGTATAATAATTGACATATTTTAGACCTGTGATATGTCAGTTTTATTTTAAAATGTCACTGTGATACTCTAGAAATTCATCCTTTGCAATTATTTAAACTTAGGGCTGACTTTTTAAAATGTCATGTTAAAGTGTGAAGAGTAGCAGTCTTTAAAAGCATTTTTGGTGGTTTGTGACTAAAAAATATTGGAATGCCAGTGTGGTAAGCTATTTGCTAAGAAGTGGGATTGCTGGGTTATGAGATATGAATGTTCAACTTTACAAAATGATACCAAATTGTTTTCTAAAGTGATTGTATCAGCTTATACTTTGGCGAGTAGTTTTGTCAATTTATATATGTTGATCAGCAGTGTATACAAGTTATAGTTAATTTATATTCTCTCCAACACATGCTACTATCAGACTTTTTAATATTTACCAATCAAATGGATATGATATGATGTACATTGTAGTTTTAATTTGCATTCTTTGGTTGTTAATGAGTTTGAGCATCTTTTCATATGTCTCTGAACCATCTATTTACCTTTTTTGAAATACCTGAACATATCTTTTACCCATTTTTCTGTTGGGTTGTCTTTTAAAACTAATAAACTGGTAACACGCATCCTTTATTGAGTATATGCATTGTAAATATCTTCTTACAGTTTGTAGTCTTTTTACTCTTTATGTTGTATTTTGGTGAACAGAAGCTATTAATATTAATGTAATCTAATTGGAAACTTTCCCTGCCCTGGGATTATAAAGACTTTCTCCTGTGTTTCTTTTCACAAGTTTTAAAATGATGCCTTTCACATTTAAGTTCATAATGCATCTGTACTGATTTTTGTGTATGATGTGAGGTAATGATCCACATTTATTTTCCCCCACTGTGGGTACAGTTGACCTCATAGTGTGAATTGAATAGGCCCTCTGTTCACCAGTGACCTTCTGAACCATCTCTTTCACATTTTTAGTTTCTATATGCATGGGTCTGTTTCTGGCTCCCCATTCTGTTCCACTTGTCCACTTGTCTGTCTCTGTGTTGATACCACATTGTCATGATTATTGATGCTATAGCTTTACCCAAAATCTGGGGGGCACTTGAGTCTCAGCTGTTCTTGTTTTAAGAGTCAGCTTGTCATATGACATGAAAAACCCTTTGGGAATTAATTGGAATGATTGAATCAATTTGGGAGACACTTGAAATCTTTAAGATTTTGAGGTATGTATTTTCATTTAAATAGGTTTTAATGTCTTCTAATACAGTTTTGTAATTTTTTCCTTACAGAGCTAACTCTTTTTAAATGTTGATTCTAATATTTTTAGTAGTTCTGTTGCTAATATAAATAATGTTTTTTAGATTCTATTTTATGACTTTATTGTTAGTTAATGTAAGCTTAATGAATTTTTTACATTGGTCTTTAGTCATCCACTTGATACACTCTTATTCTAATATATTTTCTGTAATTCTTTGGGGTTTTCTACGTGGATAATTATATCACTTGCAAATAGTGACACTTTTGGTTCTTCCTTTCCCCATTATTTTCCCTTAAAAATTTTTTTCTTGTCCTACTGTGCTGGCACACTTTAGATCTATGCTTAATGAATGTGATT